GGGGGGGGGGGGAGACAGCGAGAATTCGGTCGAAACGCGCGTTTTTCCGCGAGAGTATGCAAATCGCATCCGACACGGAAACGCGGGTGTAACCCGACCCGGACACGTTCGCCGAGTCCAATTACACGCTGACAGTGAAAAGGCAAACCTGGATCCCTCCCTCCTCCTCTACCCGGCGCGAACGCGATTACGAGGTTGAATTTCGTGAAGTGTCCCTCGGTCAGGCCGGACAATGTTTATTAAAGGCAGCGCAAATATTGACGATATCATCGCGCAGCCGGTGATCGATGTTGCGACAATGTTGGGAGCGAAAGAAAAAAAGAAATCGGACGGAATGAAAATATTTCTCATAGACCGTCGGGGTACGATCGGTAGCAAATATCGACGGGACGCGGATATGACGGATCGGTGCGCGGAGGAACCGAGGGTGTCGAAGGTAAGAGGGGAGGAACATGAAGGAGGGGGGGGAGAAGATGCGAGGGTTGCCGTTCGAGAACAAACGGTTTTCGCTGCATCGTTTCTCAGCTTTAATAGCGGTGGTACTATTATAACCGCCGGTTCCCTTTGTCCGCCGACGAGGACGACGAAAGGTGACGGCGACGACGTCCCCCGTGTTCTCCCTTGAAACGGCAGATAACCGGGACTTATCTGGCGGCGGCGGCAAACCGCGCTTTAATTCGCCGACAGCATATAAAGCGGCGAATTAACGGGTAATTGTCGGCTCACAATGGCAGAGTCGCGAGCGGAGGAGGAGCGAGCGTCGCCCCGGAGAGGACTCGGCAGATCGGAATTTTCGACGCGATTTACCGAAGCGAGGAACGCGCAAACGACGATCTCGCGTTGCCGATTCCGACCTGGCGGAAGGATTTTTTCTTTTTTTGCGGACGGATGTGTCTGCAAGTCTTTACCCGGCTTTGTCCTCCCGTCAGCGCGGATTCCTCGACCAACTTGAACCTCGGCTCGCACTTTAATGAAGATTCAACAGGACGCTATCCTGTTACCGCGATTCATTAATGTTTCATGTTAAATATCTTCCTGATGAATCTTCGGAGCAGATCCCGGGCGATTCATTTGCGCTCGCCAGATTTAATTCGTTCCTAAATGTACGCGGTCTTTGGTCGAAAACGCTCGATATGTCCTTTATTGAGGCCGGTATCGACTTGAAATCGTTGAAAGGACACGCGAATAAAAGGAAGCGCGGATAATCCGGAGCGCCTCTGCGAACAACATAGGAAATATTCGAGTTTCAGATTTTAATTGAGCGCCGATACGCTCCGCTCAAATGTTCACTTTGCACCTTCAACAGGCTTTAGTACTCGAAATAAAAGATACGTCGGTTTTGGTGCTTTTCCTTCACTTTATCGAGTCATTCGACGTTGATGCAACGTGAAAGAGTTAAAGTTAACGCGTTTCACCTCGCATTATCCGCATCGCGCTCATCGTGCTCGGCGACAGCATCGATCAGACAAAATTAATATCTGCCGTTTATTCGTTTCTTTCTTCGTTGTAAATCTTACGAGGAGATACACAATTGAATGCAAGTTCGCGATCTAACCTAACTTAACCCTAACTTCAACCTCAACTCGCGTTGTCTACGCCGAATGACCGCCTTGTCGTCGTAACTAATCGGAAATTTCGTTTCTTGTTACAGATCTGGCAATGTTCTCCGAAGAAGAGGTTACACGACAGATGTGGTTCCGAGAATGCTGTTCTAAGGATGCTGTCCCGAGGATGCGGTTCCTGCGGGTTCGGGCCGAGCGGGACCGGCTCCGAGGTAAGTTCATAGATTTCTCTCGCGATTTGTCTTCGTAACCCTTTGTCGCCGAAAGCGCCGGAATAGACGAGTTTGAAATGAATCGAATTACGACCGCGAAGGGTTAATCCACTCACGCTCTTACGCGCATCTGTTCGTTAAGCCGAACCCCCGAATCTAAATAATGCGACTGTTCTCTTTCCATTACAAATCCTTCCAGCCGGTTTGGTGAGAGTTACACAATTTTAGGTGATGCGGGTTTTTGCAACGCTGCGTTCATATCAATGCAATTTACATTGCATGTAGATTCTACATATTGGACTTGCCGCATGTACACAATAAGAGAGAAAATATTATAGCTTTATTTTTCGTATAAATTTTTTTCGATTTCACTGTGTTTTGTAGTGACAGGCTAAATTGCCAGGAGAGTTTGTCTTGCAGAGGGACATGCTAAATTCTTTTTTTAACAACAGACTCGAATTCCTAAAATATATAAATAACATACGTGAAATGGAACGATGATAAATTATAAGCGGAATGTCTATATTTTAATTAGTTACACAATTCTATGGCAATTTTTACCACAAAATTCTCTCTCCGTATACGTGCATGTCTGTGATGAAACACATTTCTCGAAATAATCAGGGGATTAATTGTTCTAAAAACGTCCTCTCTTTCTTTCTCCATTTTAATTTAATAAATATCTTATATTTTTATATTATTATTCGAAAAGAATATATATCGAATACGTAACATATAATCTTCATTTTGATTAATTTAAACACGTTTGTGTAAATGTAACGTATCAACTATTTCCTCTTGCATTCAGTCCAAACCATAGAATTATTTAACTGCACTGTTTATGCGATGCGGTTCTCTAATCGTTTCGAGCAGTGTGCAAAGCGTATCGGAATTGCGTCACCGCACGCGAAACGCGCGATTACCTCGTGTTTACATTGATCGATTTTACGGTAGACGCTTTTTTAGTCATATATTTTTTAGACTTCCCATGTATACGCTTTTATATTGCGATTATCTCGCTAAATAAAAACGAATGCTGTTCATATTCACGTCCATATATCGCGAAGATGAGCTTCCGTTTAAAATATTGTATTTTAAACAAAGTGACCAAACGTAACAATCTAACACGTGATTATTCTGCTCGTTAAATAAGGTGAACATTCCAATTAGTGACAAAATAATTTTACCGTTCGAAAGTTTGAGCATTTGTGGTTTTAATTGTATTATAATTTTTTAATTTATAATACGATTTAAATTAATTTATAATATCTCCTTAAAAGTGACGGAAGTACCATTTAGTGATTAGATTCGCGATTTCGGGTTTCCGGTTCGCGGATTTTTATAGACGATTCAGTTTTCGCCTTACAACATTTTATATGTGATTCGGTCTTCGTTGCGAAATCCCTTACGCGATTCAATCTTCGCTCCGCGATCTTTCACACGCGATGCAGTTTTCGATTTACGATCCTTTATTCGCAATTCGCGAATACTCGCATTCTTCGTGCTGAAAGTGTCGGAATCGTTCGCACGGTCGTGACAGACACGACACTCGTCGAACGAATTCGCGGATTCCGACATTTACATGTCGAAGTCGTAGATCTTGTGTCCCGAGATAAACGAAAACCGATGCACGATGCACACTCGTTAATTCTTTACACGCCATTAAAATGTTAATATTAATCGCGTCGCGAGTGCCGTGTAAAATGCAGTGAAGTGAGATGAAGTGCGATCAATGCGCTTCGGTATGCAGCGACGATTTTCGTTGATGGCCCTGCCTGGAAGTGGGTGTACCTGGCTGGACGTGGGTGAACCTCGTTTGACGACAACGGATTTTGACGCGAATTGGCAAGTGCTGAATTTCAACACTCACGGAGTGTCACACTTTGTAATACATGCGTAATGCATCCCGCGGATCGTATTGATTTGCAAGATCAAGAGCCATTGTACATTATCCTCGATATTTTTTAAGACTATACGGAACAAAAAAATTAATATCGATTCAAGATTTACATTTTCATGTACACGGTAGGCCATTTAAAATGTTACAAAAATATCAGAATAAAATATAAAATATCTTGGAACGTGTCCACTTCTCGCTAATTTTATTTTAGTACTTTTATGCATAAAATGACTAGAGGAATCGATATATGTAAGAAAATAATTACGATTCCATAAAGAAAATTCATGATAACTTTGATATGACTTTAGTACGTCATTTAATGCCAAACTAATATCCCTGTCTTGTCCCTTTTTCAACCAAACAACTTTTATCTAAAACATGTTTTATTATGATGTGTGTCTTCAGATAAACAGTTTGCAACATTTTAAATGGCCCACCTACATTACCAAAAATAAATAAACTTATATGAAGATAAAATTGTTTACATGAAGAAACTTTATATGATTCCACTAAAAATATCGTATTTCTGTTATTCAAACATAATGTGTACGTAGAGAAAAAAAATACTGGACAGAAAGAACGATATCTTTAAACTAATACAATTCTTAATTTGAAGATACCGTCCTTCTGTCCGGTTTTTTCCTCCGAATTCATGAAAATTATCCTTCAGTAACAAGAATATGATCTGTCCAATAGAACTACGTAGGACTTTTTTATGAGTTTTTGCTTCATATAAGATTACACGTATATACCTGTTTCTCTGTAATGAGAATGTGAATCTTGAATCGCTACTATTTTTTTCGTACTAAAACTATGTAGCCATATATATATATATATATATATATATATATGTATATGTATGTACGTGAAACTACAGATTTTTAAATGAGCCAGTGTGGCCGGACGTGCCGATAACACATACGTAAGATGCATCCCATGCGGCCGCGAAAGCATTTTGTTACCGGTCGCATCAAGCAAAAGAAAAGGAAAGAAAAACGCAAAAAAAGTGGGACAGAAAGCAAAGAGAAGTGAGCACATTGGGGAATCACATAGAGGTATTATTACCGTTTCATTCCCTGCTCAGCGGCCTCGGCGAAGCTCCGCACGTCGTGATAATCCATGTTAATCGGACCCGTTGGACTGTAAATGAGCCTTTTTGCGGGCAAATTGATGGACAAAACAGCGCCGAGTACGCCCAGCCCGGCATCGATTTGCGCCGCGGCGTACAGGACGGTTTTGAAAGGTTCCGGCTCGGTGATGCCGGGCGGACATTCTGAGACCAGGATAACGCCGTCGTAATCGCAGCTGCAGATATCCGGTTCGACCCTCACCTGACACGGCAACCACCTGAAACGAATCACATCGTCCTTGTTAGCCGGCCGGGCCCGCTAATCGATAGCGAATCCGATTAGATGAACACGAAGTAATTTCTCGTTAACAAGCACACGCGATATGTCCGCAGTATCCGAATACCGAGCGTCGTTCTTTGCTGCGGTTTTCTCCGAGTTGTCGCTTTTTATTTAAAACGGAATAAAAATCCTCTTAAGAAGGTCCACTCGATCATTAGTTCGTGAGTGGTTTCGCGAACGGCAAATATTTTCTGAATTTAAAGTACGTCTTTGACCCGAAGTGCGACGAATTTGTCTGTTTGGTGTAAAAACAATTTAACGTGGAATTTCAATTTAAGATAATTAGTCCCAACAAATTGTTAAATTCAAGCCTTGAAAGTTACAGTACCGTTGGCATTAGTATTATTCAAGATCTAAACAATATAAACAACAAAAAGAAATAAAAAACAAAAAGTACATGTAAAAAATAAAACGCGTACAACTTCCACCAGCGATGAATGATATACTACAATATCGGGGATTCCATTAAAAATTTCTGAGTTGGGGTCTCCCTGGGTTATCCTGTTGAGGGAGCAACCTCCCCACACCCCTTTGAAAGAGTAGCCCCTCCAAATGATTGAACACGTATTTCATATATAACGTGGTTTTTCATAATTTTCAACTGTTTCCAAAATATAAGGGGGAAAAGATTTTATACACACACTATATATGAGAATATGAATCTTGAATTGGTACTAATTTTTTTCACGTGTATCGATACATATAATGTATTCACAGACATATACTTAATTCAGGCGGTTCCAGTCAAAAGTATCAAAACGCGAGAAAAATGATTATTATATCTGAGTTTTTAAACATTATGTAAGTTTGATTGATATTCTACAGCGATATTGCTGTAGCATCAAAACTACATATCATAAATCATGTTTATAAACATTTAGCACAGATTTGTCGAGCTCTTCGTGTTGTACCAACCTTAACCTGTTAGCACGAGATAATTCGAGCAAGCAGCTGACAGAGTTGTGCGCAAGCTCGAGTTAACTCTGGCGGTACATTATTTTATATTACCATGCACACGCGAGTGTTAATACGAGCGTGAAAAATGATTACACTAAAGTTACAGTATAACACAATATTGGAAAAGTATTTTAATATTTTACATTATTTTTTTCTGATCGTAAAACAACGGTGCGTTAATGGATTAATCATTTACCTTCCTAATAATGGTATTAATCATTATCTTTCTAACAGTCAACAGTTAACGGGGCAATTACCTTAATAGAAATATCTATTTAATATAAATGTCTATTTTAATATAACTTCAATTTAAACGATTGAAAGGACTCAATTTATAATATAAATGATTAAGTCTCACCATACTCGGAGTAGGTTCATTTTTTTTTATTTCAACGCAGTCGACATCGACGGTGTTATTAATTCGACATATTCACGGTATGATACGTAGTTGAACGACGAGATAGTTGGTATTTCATCATTTAAAGCATGCAACTCTCGATCATCGCTGTAACTATGAGCAAAAATTGTCGCCCGAGGCGAGGAAGCTTACATCACCCTTTTGCATCGGAAAGGGCTGCGAGGGAAGGAGGGAAAATTATCACAGTAAACTAACATAAGTTAGGATATTAGATTTCCCGCGCGCTTCGTCAATAATTAAAAGCAAGATCTCAAACACGTTCCTTAGCTAGCAACGTAATTCGCGTGCAACGTAATAAGAAGAAAATATTTCGAATGATCGATGCTAGAGGAATTTCATCCCGCGAATCGCGAGCGGATGATGTAAAATCGTCGCATTTTCATTCCGATGTATCTCCCGCGAAATTTACAAGACGCCCGTATACGTTTTTGATTGTCGCTAGAAAATTTATATTTACGTCCGTTTTCTGCGCACATTTCAATTTCTTCGCGGCATTCTCGTGGTAAAACTGCGTCGTATATTTCACGGTGTATGGGACGACTTTACCTCTTTAATATATACTGACGCACACACAAATATACAGGATATTCTAGACCAACAGGAACAAATTTCGTAAGACCGTAGAATGGATTGAGGTGAACAGAAATGTCCTTTAGTATTTCGCAAACAATACGCACAATATCGGGTTAGTAATGATTGAAAATGGCCATAGAGACTTCTTTAATTAATAACTCGAAAATTTGCGTGTTATTTGCAAAATGGTAAAGGTAAAGACTATTTTGTTAAAAGTGGCCTAATCTACAAGTATATGATAGCTGTTATATTTAGCGATATCAGTATATCGGTAGATTGAATCAGATATCAATATATTGAATTTTAAACCTTGGACCCGTCGCTAGGTACAATAGCTGTCATATACTTATAGATTAGGTCACTCCAAATAAAAAAGCCCTGTATGGCCGTTTTCGATAATTAATAACTCGAAATTTAGCGTGTTGTCTGCAAAATGGTACAAGATTTTTTCGTTCACTTCAATCTGTTCTACGTTCTCATGAAATTTGTCTCTGTTAATCTTTGAGATGCCCAATGTGTATATAAATAAATAAATAAATAAATAAATAAATAAATAAATATATATACATATATATTTATTTATTTATTTATTTATATTATATATATATATATATATATATATATATAGTTATCAATTATCATGTTCGTAAATTAGTCGTTGTTGCTAACACTTGATAAAAAATATAAATAAAAGTCGCTTCATCGAACTGAAGATTGTTGGAAATTTTCGAACGATTTGAGAATTAGAATTGTTTGTTATTGACTCATGAACTCGGTGTCATAGCGTTTCTTTATTGTTTATCCGAAATTCGTTTTCAAAATGGAAACTTTTTCTTTTGTTGAGCTGACCGATATGCATATAATTTATGAAGAAGTTAGATGTAAATGATCAACACTTCGAACAACTGCTGTAAATAATTAACTTCAGTGCCAAAACGGCATATTTGCAGATATGAGTTTATCGATAAAAATCACTTTTTTAGTGTTTAAGTGTCCTTTGTAAGCACTGAAAATTGTCGGTCTAATTTCAGAACACCCTGTATATATACATATATATATTTCATAGCAAGTTAGCGACATGAACGTAAAACCAGGATAAAAGGCGCGGTTGCGAATTTTACTCATCGAACGACGAGGATGCAGTTCCGAGACGCGAAATTCGAAGCTCTTCTTCGCTTTCCTTTTCTCTTATCCTTTTCAAGATCTGGCCGTACGTTTCTGGCGCACGTAGACTTCTGGCGCACCCCATTTCTACGTTAAGGCCAACGCCATTTGGCCGATAAGCTCGAGCCGATAACCGAAGAGGTCAATCGCGACTCCGTGTCTCGTTTCACGCACGTCAGTACAGATGATCTTTGCCGATTACGCTATCTCGCGCGCGTCTTCTCCCTGCAATCGATATATCGTCATCTGTATACGCGCTGTGGGCACCGTGGGACTTCAACGTGGGTCCTGGCGTCAGCAGCCCAGCGAAATCTTCTCCTCGTGTCTCGCGAGTAATAAGATCCTTACGTGTCCCCTCAAATTTCTTTTTTATACAGCACGCGATAGAGTTTTACGCGGGTAGACGAGAGAGAAAGATGTTCCCTTTATTATTCCCCTAATACGAGTGGCCATGTTATCAATCGTTTTGTTCGGAGATAGCTAGTCGTAACGGCTCGATACTCGAGCGGGATGTTTTCAGTGCGACATTTGTCCCTTTCATTGCCATCCGTCTTATCTGTCATGTCGTTATACGAATACGCGGGGAAATGTATTTAAGGACTCGTAAAAATTCGTCGTGTGCCATATTTCTGTTATTTATAGTATGAGTAACGAAAATTTTCTCACTAACCCATTAAAGCCTATGACTGGACCAGTAAGGTTAGCAAACTGGAGCGTGAACAAATATTTCTGACGTAAAAAGCAAAATATTGCTGACATAATTCTGACATCATAAAAATCGCAACGAACTGTTAATATTGACTGTAAAAATATTGAATTGTTAACATAGACTGTGAATTAACGAAATGTAGGAGAAACCTGATTAAGCCAATAGATTCTACGAGAAAAGTTGCGAAAGAAACGTATATTTCTTCATATTATTCTCCGTTTATGTAAAAAAAAAAGAACAATAAATATCATGGCTTATTGGAACTTTATAAAATTGATTTTTATAGTGTACTTTTTATGTCAGAAATGTTTTTTGCACGTCCCGGTTTTATTTCCAATTATTATTTTTTGCTAACTTTATTGATTTATCGGCTTTAATGGATTAATAAAGTTAAAAAAAATTTCTTTTATCAATGGCGAACCAAAAAATAACACGTGTCATGATCAAATGAAGTATTTGCCATCGTAATCTATCATTTTCTACTATTCTCTAGATTACTGTCTGATTTGCACCCGTAAAGTAACATTGTTTTTTGAAGCAATGGAATTATCAGCGATACGACGCTTTGCAAGTCTCTAATATTAACAATTTACGATTCGAATTGTTTTCGACTTCTCAAATGATCCGTGGAAATACATTTATTCCGTAATAATATTATGTAGAGTTTACGTTTAAATATACGTTTAAATAATACGTATTTAATATTTTTAGAATGTTTTACGTTAATTTAATATAATGTAGAGTTTACGTTTGTTTAAACATTTCAATATTTTACCAATGCAACAGCAAACATATTTACAATAATATATTTATAATGAATATTATTAATGAATATAAAAAATTTATTCATGGAATCGATTTGAACGAAATGTGGTTTCGAGATAAACTGTACATACACAGGGAAAAAAGTCTCTTTGGATTTAATATACATGTTTGTTTGACTTGTTCGTTTAATATAGACAACGTAATTTAATATCACGAATCATTTCGTTAGAATGAACATGTTGTTGTTTCATTGAACTCACCATATTGTTTGATAGAAAAAAACAGTATTACTTAGTGGAAATAATATATTTGGTTTTCAATTTAAAAAAAATTTTATTTCATCATACAGGGT